ATATATAGTCTTATTTAAACTATTTGGTTATATTTACACACAAGAAGTGACACAATTAGTTCCTTAAATCCCTAACAATGTATCAATTATTTTTCGGAAGAGTTCTCACAGAAAGTTTATATGTTTTTTTTTTTATTTTTATTCAGATTGTTCAACCTTGAATGTGCATTTGACTTCATTTTTAAGATGTTCGGGCTATTAAAGTTCCTCACAGGGTGCTTATATTTTGCAACTCTGTTCTTATTATGCGGACTTTAAACTTAGGACAGCGCATTGTCCCTTGGGCCTGCATTTAAAACGAGTTTCACTTGGTTGATGTTTTTAATCAAAATACTATTAATAAGGATCTAGCACAAATTGATAGCAGTATATGTAATACGTGTATTCAGGCTCATTGCATATATAGAGGATATCTAGATTGTGAGATTTGAGATATTGGCTTTATCCAACGAGTTGAAATGGTGTATATACACCATTTAAACGAGATGGATAAAGCCAATATCAAATCACACAATTATAGATGTTCTATTTATCTCGTACGACTTTCGTTTTAACAAAAGTTTGAGACTTCGAAACTACATGAATGATTGCTAATTCAAATTGATGACGTATAACTTGATGACGTAGCACCGATGATGTTGACATTGCCTCGAAAGAAAGTAAATCTGTTCAAAATTTAGAATTTTTGCTATCTGCGTCTTTGAAAGCATCATGTGACAACTGCTGGAGCTTTACATCAAACGAAATTCTAACTGAAAGTTGTAAGGAATATGGGGATCGTGAAAATTAGCTTTTTTTACGATTGCAGTACTAAACGTGTTAGGCAAGGCTAGGGGCCTAGGCCTAGTTGTCTAGATTAATTGCTGATCCATGGTAAGTTACACCTATATTACTAATTAGGCATACGTAGTATAATATAATAAAGCATTGTTGAAGGTGTCAAACAATGCTTTATTATATTGTATTATTATAAGACTAACAACAACTTAACTGGTGGTAGGCTTTAATTTCTTCAAAAACGACTTAAGAGGGGGGGGGGGGGTAATATCTGTCTTCAAGTAGCCAATACAGGTTTCTTAATAAAATAAATCACTTTTTTGACATACACTGTCTTTTTCTTGCTTTTAACGATATTATTGCCCTTTATCGTTCATTTTATAAGGGCAACAATTTTCACAAATAAAAGTTTCAATAAAATTAAATCTTGAAGCGAGGGATTGTGTCAAAACCGGAAGCGCTATTGATAAGGCATCTACCCGTTAATAAAGCATAAGTTTATCCAACGGCCTGTATCACCAACACGTATGAGATAAAATAAATCTCATTTCCATTTGATGTAATTAATAATCAAACATCTATACCTTAAAGAATTTTAGACTAAGCTTTGCATTTTGGGCTACGCAGTGGAAGAATGTGGTCATAGAGATCTGTAGAGCTAAGAGGCACATGCATGTATCACAGGCATTAATAATATTTATTGAAAGAATCTATGTAAGAGAGAAGAGTCAATTAGCACATAAATAAGATAAGTCAAGTACACGAGTATTGCAAGCATGGGTAATGAAATCGCAGCCAAAATTTCCTAGTTTGAAAATGGCACCTATAAAGTGCCAAATATCTTGATGGCAGCTAAATTGGTAAGTATGATAGACAAATTGGAATGCTAATAAATTTGTTACATGTATCAGGGAATGTATCTTTTGTAGGAATATCATAAAACAAGACCAGTATGCTTCAAAAATGATAGTATTGTCTTTTACAGGCATTTGCAACCATCAATAAATAGTGTTGTACCTTCTTGTAATTGAATATGATTAAGAATTTCAAATTGCTCTTCTTAAATTGGCTAATTAGAGAATGAATGTGTCGCCTTTGGATTTATAAAATTTGTGTTTCTCAAACAGCAGAACATGGCTTTCCTAGCACTTTAGAAACAGGAATTATGATATATGTAGTTCTCTTGAGTAACCCCCCCCCCCCCCATTTGGTAAAAAAAAAAAACAGATCTTTAATTTTAATTACTGTGGTTTCATCAATTTCGTTGGCATCAATGTTCGTGGATTTTGTATAACAGACAGTTTCGAGGATACGTAATTTCGTGGACAAAAGCATTGCCTATACAAATGATTGTCATATTTTGTAAAATACGAAAATTGGTGCACAACGAATATTGCTGAAACCACAGTAACTACAACCATCGAACTTGCCTTGAATAATGGGGAAACGAAAAACAATGGTGGTAAAGAGCATTGCAAGGTTGCTCAGACATTTCAGAAGGAATTAATAGACTGGTAAGTTTCTACAAGACAAAGGTTTATTAGGCATTGAGGAATTAGGTGATATACATCACATTTGGTAAGGTTTGATTGCCTTATGTGTTGTAAAACCTCTTCTAAATTTAGGGAAATTCAACATACTTTATTCTAAGTCTGCTGAAGGACATGCACATCTAGGAATCAAGATGTGTGCTTGTATCTAGCTGGGAGGGGGGTCTTGGCGGTATTGGTCGTGGAGCAGTTGACTTGCTTTGCTTCCCCCGATGTGTGGGGTGACTGCAAGCTGTGCCACCTTGCAGCCATGTGGCGTCTGCGCACACTAAGTCAACTGATAACTGAATGTTTGTGTGAAACTTGTAATAAACTGTCACCTTGTTGAAATGCTAATGCTAGTGTAAACAAAGCAAATAAACAAAACCAAAAGCTGGGATGTTGAAGAGTTTGCTTCTAGAAAATTCAATTAAAAACTGAGTCTTTTAAACAAAGAGAGACTGGGTCCTGTGCATAATGATCGTGTAATCCATATATTTTGTTTTTATTTCTGAATGTTGAGAACAGGTACATGTAAATGGCAAGCTCTCCGCTTGCTTTAACTTAGATTTTTATATTCATGTCAAAAATTTTATTTTAGGTCCTCCGTTTTCTTGGTAAATACCTTACAAAACGAATTATTTAATTTTTAAACTAAAAATAATCGGTCTGCATCTTCTTCTAACAAAATATTTATCCTTAGCAAAATTAGATTTGGTATATCAATATCATCATTTCAAAAGAGAATGTATATGGTCTTTAGGACAGGGGTTGTCATAGTATCAAAATTCAATCTTGAATCACCTATGTCTAAAACATGGATTCATGTTTGCTTTTATTACGCTTATTAGGCTTTATATAAACCTTAACGTAGATACAAAACTTCCTCTTAATTTCAAGTATTTCAACATTTCCCGCTTTGGTTCGATTTATGAACGGGGAAATTGATTTAACTATTATTTGGTGAAAATTTACAAAACGCATTAAATATGTACTAAGCTTGGTACATGTATGTGATTCACAGAGAAATACAAATGCATATTTTTGAAGTTCAAAGAACATTTCTAATTTATTTTTCCTTAGTGGAAATCGTTCGGATAAGTGCCAATTTATGTGAGGGGTAAGTTTTCTATGTTTTTTTTACTTTCAATATTATGACTCATATTCTTTGCCAAGTGTCTATGAGCCCTGAATTAATCTAAAAGATTTAAATTACTTTTTTAATTACTTGTTGAAATTCCTTATCCAAAGGCAAAGGCCTTTTTAAAAATATTTTTTAAAGAAATGTAACATTTTTTTATGCTGCTAAAATCCTTGAAATCCATAGTGATAGTGCAAAATGGTCAACTTACGTCCATTGAAATGAAGAGTTTTATATAGCTTACCTTGTCGAGGGCGAGACTAGCATATGCTTAATTCTGACCTTTGGTGCCGTTGTCGGTGTTAACGTTGCTGGATCTGACCTATATTTTCCAAATAAGTCTCCATTTTCACTTTTTTGGAGCAGGTCCACCAGTAATTATACATAAATGCTCCATATATCGATCAAATTAAACTTACAGGGTCGATGCATCTATAGGAGTGGACATTACCTGGGTAGCTCTGGATGTTAGAACTGATCTTCAATTTTTTAGATGAGTGACCGGGTTAAAGATTTATGTGAACAGATTCATATCTTAGTAATTGTATGTCTTAACTGAATCAAAGAAATGGGGGTGGTGCATTTAGCACTGGAGTCTTCCACACTTGCTTCGAAGGCTGAATCTTACCTACATTTTCCAGATGAATGACCTATTAAACTTTTTTGGAGCAGGTCAGTTTCATAATAACGTTATGTCATCATTTAAACATGGTTGGTGCATCTAAGAATAGACACTTCCAGATTTGCTTCGGATGTTGGATCTGACCATTCACCAGTTGAATGACCAGTGTAGTATTTTTGGTGTATCGTAATAATTATACAATCTCTTATGTTTAATCTTGCAATTATGGATAGATTCTTCCACACTTGATCAAAATTTTGAATTTTTAAACTGACATTTTCTTATATAGTACAAATGTTAAAGTTTTTGAGTAAATCATTTTCTAAATATTAATTATAAGGCCTATTCTAAGCAAAATTGGTTTGATATTGCACCTAGAATGAACACTTAACAGAAATAAAATGTATTTTTTTCTTTGCCCATAGATGATATTGGTCGAGGTGAGCTACGTACTCTTTGATAAGCTTTGTTATCTGTCGTCTGAATCTTGTCAACGGTAAAATGCACTCTAAGACTGTTTCCCGAAACTCGGTTTGCTAATTTTAACGTTTAAAGTCCGTTTGAAGTTTGAGGAGCTTTTCTTGTCATTTGGTATGCATTTCCTTTCTGAATTTGATCGTTTAAAATACATAAAATCCTCAAATATATTCAAATGTGTAGTATTTAGTACACATAATTGATAACTTAGGTAAAATATAAACATATACACAAACCCATTTCCTCTGGCGTATGTTTTATTCGCGCATATAAATCGCTGCAGAATAGAGATATTTAAACCTCAAAAACTCATCATTTAAATTTTTTAAATTAGATGAACGCTTTACACATTGATGTCATCTTTAAATAATTAATTTTTTCTTACTGCTTTTGCCTTAGAAAAATAGCTCTATATAAAAAAAAAACTTAAGGCGAAATTTATCAATTCTATGCAGAGCACATGGCTTGGTTTGCTGTGATGGATATAAGTGGAGCACTGCACTAGGAAAATGCATAAGTAAGACAAATATTGCTGCATCATGAATTTAGATAAAGATTAATATTACGTAAATATTGTGAGAACTAGAATATATTTGACCTAAATATAAAATGTTAAAGGATTTTATTTTCAGAATGCAGACTTGGATATACTGGCAACCAATGCGCATCAGTGTGCTTATACCCAACCTTTGGTGAAAATTGCCAACAATTATGTACTTGCCAAAAATCAATGTGTGATTTTGCTTCTGGGTGTCCTATCAAAGGTGCCTGAATTAAAGATTTTAAAATTCAATGTTTAAATGAACCTTCGGATTTTTTAAACCATCGTTGTAGCATTTAAATTATAATTCATTTATCATTTCATTTTTTTTTTACTTTTTAGATATGTATATATGAGTTGAACCAAATAACGTTAATCAATGTAATTAAGAAATCTTATTTCCATCAATTCTTTTTCAATATGAAAAATAGTTTTCTTTACTTACTGAAACTTATTTGAGCGATAATGGATAGTTATGTTATTTCCTCCAAAAAATTTTATGTTTAAAATTCAGGCTACAAAAGATATTTTTTTTTCTATTTTGTTTTGTTAGGATTTGACAAGATCATCTAATACAAATAGAATTTATTTTGTAATTAAACACTTGTCCATGAAAAACAGAAATATCTTGCCTAGATTTAATAATAATAATAATAATAATAATAATAATAATAATAATAATAATAATTGTAATAATAACAATATTTTATTTAGAGAAGGTGATCTGATTAGTGCAATGGGATTATTTGAAACTTAAACAAATCCTGAAAGTTGCCAAAAGAAATGATGTCCGCTATCCTTATTAGTAATAGACTATTTATTAGATTGTGTTTATATGTAGATAAATCAAACTTTTTTTTAAATCAAGAAAACTTCTAAAATGTTCATGGGAAAAAGGCACAATTTTCATGGATATAGATAAAATCACTTCCTTGGGTATTTTGAACATCCTTGATTTGAATTTTCCTGGCAACACGCCAAATAATAGTTTAAAAATTACTAATTGTACTTCATTGGCATTTTCCGCCCTCTCGTACAATCAAAGATAAAAACATGGTATTGATTCAAAATTGTTTATCTGACACCATTGTTGAATTTTTGAGTTAACTAAAATCACCTCTGACAGGTAAAAAAAACTTTAGACAATTTTGCTAAACAACCTCCCCTCCCCCATTTCTTTTCTATGACAAATGCACATGTTGATATGTTATTTGTATAAATTACTACCTCCTTGTGTCTTAAATATTTATGCCTCCTTATATCTCTCTGTCGGTTGGTCTGTGGGTCTGTCTGTCGATCCACCATCAGTTTCCTTCATTTTCTTCGCAGAGGTTGTATATATTGAAATAAAATTTGGTACACAGATTTATCATGAGACTATCGAGGTCAAGTTCTGTTTTAGGTACGATCGTACAATTCCGTACAGAATTATGCCCCTTGGACTTGTAAATCCAATGATTAACAGTTTCCGTTCATTTTCCTTGCAGAAGTTGCAGAAGTTGAAATTAAACTTGCAATACAGATTAATCATAAACTTATCTAGGTCAAGTTCTGTTTTGGGTTATGCCCCTTGGACGTAGAGAAATTCCAATTATTTTTTGGGAGGGGACATAAGTGTTTTGCAAATATCTCTTGTTATAAATGAATTCGTACAAAATTTCTTTAAAATAAAATGTAATATAACAACATGCATCACTTTTTAAGTTCAAAGTTCCAATAAAGAAATACGTGGGTTATTCAGAAAGTTCGTAGATAAATCCTTAAATTTCTTTAAAAAACTAAGCAATAGCAAATGTGTACGATAATATCTTAATACAGGCTATGATTGCAATGGTAAATGTACAAGAAATTAATGGACACTATTTAAAGAACATTATAGGTGTAAATACTTTATATATCTGCCAGTCTGACGTAATGATAAACGTCAAAAATAGGGTATGTTACAATGCGAAATGTAATAACAACGTGAAATGCTATAAACCTGGATTATTACATTTTGCGTTATTAAATTTTGCGTTGAAATTATGCAGAATGTAATAACGCAAAATGTAACAACACACATTTAAGGATTATTATATTTCGAGTTATTACATTTTACGTCGAGATCAACGCAAAATGTAATAAAACGGTTTTTAGATCATTACATTTTGCATTGTTACATTTTGTGTGGAGATTAAGGAATAGGCAAGAAAGCAAAATGTTATTACACACTTTTATTCGTCAGCCAGATTGAGTACAATCATCAATAGTGTAGTGGTTGATGAAAAAAGGGAAAAAATAGATATATGCAATTTCTTACAATTAATAAATTTTATAATATATTGATTTAATTAGGTACATGTATTTAAAACCAGTTTAGTAAATGAATTTAAAGTAAAGGTGTTGCAAATTAGAAACGTGCATGTGCGGGCAGGGTTGTTGGGGGTATTGTCCAGTGTGCTTTTGCTTTCTTTATAGGCAAATTCACTTAATTTAAAAAACCTTATTCATTTGTACTGGCAGATGTAAATATATAGCGGGAAGGGTTTATTAAAAATAATGATACCATAATGTTCCATGCAAATCACCAGCATTGCAGACAAGCAAAAACAAATTTCTCTCTCTCTTTCCACCCAATAATAAAATGATTTTTTCTCCATGTCCACAGTAATACAATAATAAACATACAATTGAAGTAAACACCCAATCCTATCCCTGCTCCTACTCGCTTGACACACATATACACTTCTAATGTGTTAACCAATGTATACATGCCGAACATGCATATCAAGAGCTTTTAATGAACCTATGATCAATCCTTGGAAATTGAATATGTGTTATTGGTTAGAAATTTAAGTTAAATTAATTCTGTATCATTAAGTACAGTGTATTCAATATAAGTAAAATCAGAGTCAGAAAATTAATACATTTAGTTGTATATATGTCCGTGAAAGCCCTAGCGTTGGTCTCATTGTTTTACATCTATATATTTTTACAGCGTGTTTCCCATGTTTGGTTACATGTATATATTTGAATCATTTTTATGATCTTTTTTGCTAAACGCAATCAAAAAAATTAATTATATTTTGTTTTATTACATTTTGCGTTGTCTTCAGTGCTAAAAATGAAATAATGCAAAATGTAACAACGAAAAGGCACCTTATTACATTTCTCGTCGAGATCAACGCAAAATGTAATAACGCGAAATGTAATAATCTAAAAATCGTGATATTACATTTTGTGCTATTACATTTTGAGTTGATCTCGACGCAAAATGTAAAATAGCAAAATGTGATAATCCGGGTTTATTACATTTTGCGTTGTAACAACGGTATTCATATTTATTATATACTTAGTAATAAATACAGGATTTTTGCATATGCGATATGCCTGACGTCACAATTCAGGGCTGATACGGATCAATATCACACCCCTAGTTAATTATACCACAAAAAACATACTTGTAATCATACACAGTTTTTTGGTGGGTTCATATTCTCTTAATTTTAACTTTTTGAAAATAAAGGCAATCTAATTTACAAATAATAGATTATTTTCAAATTACGGATCGAGTACATTGAAATAGCTAATGAAGTAGAAACAAACCCAAACCGTATGAGAAAAAAGACCATGTTCATGTATGTAAGAAGTCCATGCAGTATTAATCACTTATTTTCTACTCAACTTAATGGGTGCTGTAATTTATTACTAACTATGTAATAAACATAATAATATATACCATATTCCACATCAAATCCTGTATCAGCCCGAGACACCAATATCAGCCAGAGGGCCGGATGTGATATGGAAAAGGGTATTATTATTCTCTTTTTACATAAACACACGCCATTTTTCGTTTTTATGATACAATGTCAAGTATGGCCAATGATATTTTTGTATAGATCATATTGATTAACATTTAAAAAAATACAATCATTTACGAGCGTCAAATTGTATACACATGCTGCACAGCCGCCAAGTCCGACGGTGCTTCATTCATAACAACGTCATGAATAGGAATATACTTTTTCATCAAATAACAGTGATTATCCTCTTCTTTAAGTCTATTCAAAATTTTATCGTTGAAATTCGAATACACTTATTGCAAATCAATGGACTAAATAATTATAATAATTAATTCTTAATAATATCTTGAATTGAAGATAATAATCAATTCAAGTTGTTTGAATATATATTTTATGTCAGACTAGGTTTCATCTATATTAAACCATAATTTTATGATTGGACGCTTCTCCGTTCGGATGACCGACGTCGCTTTTTCGATCTTTTGAAACATACAGTACTTCTTGCGGTTTTCGCTTAATATCTCCCTTGTCTATTTAGTAAGCGATACAAAAGGTGTATTAAAATGGCATTAACCGGTTTATTTGTGATATTTGTTATTTTTTTAGCATTGACTCTTTTTATAAAGAAAATTATCATTTCATTCATAATACTTGTATAAAAGTTTATGACCCTTTTACTTTTACATTTAATCACTTATATTTTTAGAAAAATATTAGGTTCAAATAATAAAAACCAAAGAATTCTGACTTAGGTTTGCATAACTAATATCTTAATATACAATAAGTATATCATGAACCATTCATTTTGACAATCCATGAAAATTTGGACAAGCTTCACACAAAAGATAACGGGTTAAGCCTTCTAAATTCACAAGTCAAATCCGACATTTCCTTTTTATTATTGAGAAAACAGAAAATTCATAAACAATACAGAGTGAAAATAATTGCTACCGATTTAAAATGCAGTATGTTTATGATATGGATTTTATTTACATAAATTAATATTGGAAAAAGGGGGATCTAGCAAAAATTTAATTTTCAATTTTTCCCTATTTTAACTTATCTGTTTTCATTTATCAGTTGCTTTTATAGTTGTTCATATCTCTGAAAATTTTTCATTTGCTTTTAGAACTACACTACAATTTGACGACAGAAAATATGTACACTGCGCCCAGGATAACAGTTAGAAGGAAGCGGAAAAATCGAACTACGTATTATTCGTCGAGTGTATCTGTCCCTTACCACAGAACAGCCGAGCAAAATGAACAATCAACTTTTATCTACATTTTGAATACGAACACAAAAGAAATACAGATATCCCAATGGATAATATTCACGTTGATTCTGTTCGTGCTGATACTTATTGTCTTAATCGTCCTTTCGATGAAATTTTACTGGAGAAGGTGTAAGTCTTCTTCCAGCAAGTCTTATCATGATGTAACCCTGCCGTCTTTTACAAAAGATGTAAGTTCACAAGACGCACTTGGTTTCCACTCTGATATATTAAGTGAACAGAGATTATCAAAATCAGAGTCGATCGAAAGTTCTACATACATTTATGATGACATTAAGGAAAGTGCTGATAATGAGATGGATGCCAGTGGATCTCATCTGAATAGTAACGATGATTTATGTACATCGAACTTGTACATTGAACCATCATATTCATTTAATGTTTCTGGAATTTCCTATTCCGAACAGATTGACAAAACAAGAGGCGAATATCTGATACCGATTAATAATTAAATGTAGTCTGTTGAATTTCAAAAAATAACATGCGAATCTGTCTTATACATTGTGTCCCTTGTTTCGACGTTTCATTTGACTACGATTATACTTTTATGTCCATGCACTACATTTAACTAGGCCAAATCTAAACCGAGTGCGCATGACTGTGCAGCGTTTTTAGTTTTATGCAGTCGTATGTGCAACATAACACCTGTCAAAAGTATTATAATTTTGATAGAAAAATTAACATTAATTTACATTATCTGTAACGTTTAAGGGTCTTAAAATGTGATTTTAAGACAAGGCTTGGGAATAAGCGCTGACATGGCTTTCACGACGTCACCCTTCTAGGTATACTAAATTTGAATTTTCGTTACAAAAGCATGCTTCTACAGAAATTTCATCTTTCCTGGCCAAGTGAATCATGAGAAGAATGTTTTTAAAGATTTGTCCTATGTATTCTTATGTTAAACTTTGATTCCCCACTGTGGTGTCACCCTAACCCCAGGGATCATGATTTGATCAAACCTAAATTTACACTACCTTAGGATGATTCCACATGAGTTTCATCTTGTCTGGCCCAGTGGTTCTTGAGGAAAAGAAGCTATTAATTTTTCACTAATTCATAATTATCTCTCATAGTTAAAGGATGTGGCCCCTCATTTGCACAAACGCGAATCCCCTTCACCCAAGAAAACTTTGTGGCGAGTTTGGTTGAAATTGGCTTAGTGGTTCTTGAGAAGAAGAAGACAATGTGAAAAGTTAACGACGACGACAGCACCAACAACAACGACAGAGAGAACAAGATTTACAGTCTAATTAAAGAAATTACTGTCTAGTTAGGAGACTATGCCAGGGCATCAACAATAGTGGGAAACAATGGATAATTTGCATATTGGGCTTCTAAATTTATTCCATGTTTCCCACCATTGTTGATACCCCGGCGTAGGCTATAAACAAGACATTGACTTCTTATATTTCGAAATCGAAACACCGTCTCGTTTAGTAGATTTAAATGCACTAGGCCCAATGAAGTCAAATTTTACTATAAAAAATAGACCCATAAAAACACGAAACAAATTTATTGACTTCTTAGTAACTGTTGTCGAATAACAACATTTATAAAATAAACTACAAAAGAATTTTAAATTATGAACAAAACAATCTTTTAAACTATATTTATATATGTGACCTAGATTTAAGTTGTCGGAAGCACGAACACGTGTATATGCTTTAGGTCACTTCTCCGCCGCGATACTGAATGCAATGTTGCAGTTGATAGAACGGGAGTTGGTCAAGAAACATATTTAGGGGGAAGATAAGGAGGCTAGGGATCAACAAATTATTTTTTTATTAACCATCAGTTATAACTTAAATTTTGAAATATGATATCTTAAAGCTATACTGACATCATAAAATAGCCGCTAATGTAAACAAACGGCCGCCATATTTCATCGATAGACGCCATATTAGTTCGTGTTCTATTGTTACTTGCTAACTATGTATACACCCAAATCATCGTCACGCGTCAATGCATTTGTCCAGTGACCAAGTACACTGTGTACCATGAAGTGCCGGTGACTGTAGGTAGCGGTTACAGACCTATCGCGAATCGTGCAAATGGTAAAGTTGCAAAAAGACCAGAACACATCGTTATAGCATCCAGTGTAAGAGAGTCGCAGTAAATATATGCACAAAACACAAAAGCACAACAAACTAGGGCTAATTGTAACGGGAACCGTTACAGATGTTCCCCAAACGCTCCCCAACTCCCTTTTGGTGCCTTACTCCCTGTAAGCTTCATTAAATAAGACGAACTCTATGCCTTTTAGACTATAACAATGTTTTCCCAAAAGTACATTCAGTATATTCAAATTTATGCATTGCACGCATGCGCATTTGAATGCATGTGCGTAATGACCTTATCATCTTGTCTACACTATTTATATACTAGAAATTACAGCGTTTTATCCAAAAGTATTAAAAAATACGTTTTAATCTAGTGTATTTGTAATTTTACTCATTTCACGTGCACGCACGTGCGTGCATGTGCATGTCGACCATATCTTCTTGTAGGAGTCTGTTATGTTTGTCTATGTTCTAAATCCCATCCTGTTTGGTTGAAAAACGAGGAAGTTATAGCCATTTTAAGTTTAAGCCAATCAGATTGCAGCGCACGTGTATGCGCATGTTTTCATGACAACTGTTATATATCATATTGTAGAACATCCTAATGCATGATTATGTTTAAAATTTTAAAGCATTTCGTCAAAAATTAAAAAAAGATATTGCGATTTTTGTTTCAGCGAATCACAGCAAAGCACACGTGCATGCACGTGCATGCCTGTGCATGACGACCATACCTCCTTGTGGGAGACCATTATGTTTGTCTATGTTCTAAATCCCATACTGTTTCGTTGAAAAACAAGGGAGTTATAGTCATTTAAAGTTTAAGCCAATCAGATTGCAGCGCACGTGCATGCGCGTGTTTACATGACAATTGTTATATATCATATTGTAGTACATCCTAAAGTATGCCTATATTTTAAATTTCATAGCATTTTGTCAAAAAACAGAAAAGATATTGAGATTTCTGTTTCAGCCAATCAGAGCGAAGCGCACGTGCATGCGCGTGAGTTCGTGCTAATTTGACAGTGTCACATTATCTACACTATGAATATATCCTTATTAAATGAGTTTTAAAATATTTCATCAAAAAATGTTAAAGTTATGGCTATATAAAGTATATCCGTCATTTCACTCATTTCACGCGCCTGCACGTGCATGCGTATGCGCGCAAAATAACCTTCGTGTTGCACACCTACACTACACACCTATTAACCCTAAAAAGGTTTTAGCTCAGTTGGGTGAACAGTTTCTGAGAACACTCGCGGACAAAAAAGTACCGGAGAACAAAGAAGAAAAAAAAGAATAATAATAATAATAATAATAATAAGAAACCGAGTAAAAACAATATGTTCCCAAACTCCGTTTGGGGAACATAATAAGAGTGCTCACTTCCGAACGTGACCGACACCGCATTTCCTTTGCGCATGTGCAAAACATAACACGGTCAGTCCGTGCTGAGTGCAGACGCCGGTCGGTCAGCTGAGGTCCTGTCACAAACTGTTTACATAGTAAATATATTGTTTTTGTTCGTAATTGATTTTTTGAGATGTTTTTGCATTTAGGCTCGTTTATCTTACGTTCGTCTCGGAAAGTTACAACCAGGAACTTCGGTTTTTTTGGTACATGCGAACGTGGACTGCAGCTGCACAAGTACAGTGGAGCTTCATTTATCCGGACGCTTTGGTTCCTAATCAATTTGTCCAGATATCTGAAGCGTCCAGATATCTGAATATCCATTTAAACACGATACAATGATATTTAAAAAAAAAACTCTGTTCCGATGAAAAATCGTCCGGATACTGAAGCATCCGGATATCTGAAGGTCCACTGTACCAACTTCTGTGACTGTAACTGCGTGTTGTCAGGGTTGCTCAACACCAAGATCAAATGCTTTCAAAAGCATTTGTTTTATCTCAGAATCTGATATACTTCGAAACTTTTTTATTTTATTGTAAAAAATCTTAGGCGTTTTACAAATAGGCCTTGGTAATATCTGATCCGATTAAAACCGACTGACCAAATCAGTCGTGCGTGACCCACACAATTGGGTGATACATGGTTAGCAGATAGTAGGGTTATCGAAAACTAATATGGCCGACTCTGATTTGGCATTTAAAAGACTTCAGTGGAGTTTTAAGCTGTCAACTATCATTTGACAAAGAAAAAAATCATAAATTATCAAAATAGTCTAGAAATGGCCATAACCACCCAACCTCTTTAAAATTGCAGAGTAAGTTGAATTGCTTAAGAAATCGGATTGTAATGACTGAGGGACGATATATGTATCATATGATGGAGTGCAGATCTATGTGGCAATCCGATATCTCTACGTAGTTCAGATGGGCTGTTTACCATGTTTATGGAAGTAGAGTTCTCTGTCTCTCGAGGCCTCGGTGATAGTGGACAGCCTTGCGCTAGTGACTTGGATCTGATCAGAAGATAATTCATTATTTATTTTGTTTGCTAAAAGATATATTATAACTAATTCCTTAGTAAGTAATTAAACAAAACATCTATTTTTTTCTTTACTGTACTGTATTTATACGCTAGTGATATACATGCAGATTGACTTTTGACCTTTCAGTAGTATTTCAATAGAGAAATATACATACCACAGGTATTACCATGCAATTAACAAGACTCACTTGTGTAGTATTTATCATAGAGAAAACAAATGGAAATGGAAATATTAAGCTGTAAACTTCTTTTGTTTCAAATTCAAATTTATAAAACTCTATCATCCTTTAAACGGATTTTTAATAAGGATTTTTTACTTTGCAAAATAGATCCCTAAAAATCATGGAAATCAATAATTTTGATGGATGATAAATTTAAAGGAAATGATATGAGCAGTCCCATGCGAAAAGGGCCCTTATTGGTATTACGTCATAATTGAGAAAAAACATCGCCAAAAATTAACGTCATAGTTTGAAAAGATTAATTTGACGTCTGCAGAAATAAGAAGAAAGAATGAAAATGAGAATGCCACAGTGTCAGTGATGGACTTTTTAGAGGTAATATTAATAATTGGAAAAAGAAACTATGTTTATAGTTTAATTACAGAAAGATATTTTGCTGAAAATATTTAATTACTGGCTGAATAAATTCCTGGATCCCCACCTGTGACATAATAAATTCGCGAAGCAATGCGGCAATATTTACATTCAAATAAAAGATCGTACTACAGCTGCACAGTGCTATTAACCGTAAATAACATTATCAGATACATGTATGCATAAATAAGCCTACATGTAATTGTATAAATATAAACTGACTTGAATAAAATGATCACTTTATTATAATCAAATTAATCTTGTTTACATCTGTACGTATA